GGTAACAATTTGTCTATAACCGATTTAGTGGTTTATGTTATGGAAGGCAAATTGGATTTTGCAATTACCCTGAATTCCGCCTCCTATAAACCAGGANTCCAGCCTCCTATAGACCGGCGGAAGTCTATCCTTATATGTCGTATACCGTAGAATTCATGGACTGGTTTATAGCCTTGCCATGTCCGCAGCCAATTGCGTACTCAGAAATATACGCGGTGATAGTCACAACTCAAGTTATTGGCATTTTAATGATTCTGGATTTGCTCTTCTCCATGCTGGAAACTTTTATGAAGCACACATTCTATAAACGTTCAGCTGAGTTCAACTTGGCCAATATTTTGATTAATGTAAATATTATGCGTGGCATTTTCGGGCTCTCCTTCTTAATAAGGCGTCGTCCAATACTTTCGTTGAAGATGCTTTACATTTGGCTGTTTCTACTTGGTCTGTTTGTTAACAACATGTACTCAGCTTACTTTCAAACTTTGTTCACAAGTCCGCCACTTGAGCAGAAGATACTCTCATTCGATGATATGCGACGGACAAACTTAAAAGTCATGTTTAGTCGCGAAGAAATTGGAGTTATCAAAGATGCACTTGGCTCTGAGTTCGACAGCGTATTCCAGGATATTTTGCAGCTGGAAGATAGTGAAATATATTATCGTCGTCGTGCGGAGTATGACACAACATATGCCTATTCTATGCCGGCATTCCTTTGGCCTATTTTCGAGCAGCAACAGCGAACATTTAAGCGTAAAATATATTGTTTGGCTCCAACTTTAAAATTTTTGGACCATTTATTGATGAGCATACCTGTGGCAGAGAATTCGCATTTGACGGAGCCGTTGAATTCGCTGATCATGCGTACAATGGAAACTGGCCTGCTAGACCACTGGCACACAATGACGTTCGTGAATTTGTGGGCAACAGGCAAGCTGTCGCTGAAGGACAATAGCAGCATCGAACAGTTTCATAATATTCGAGTGGAAGATTTTAAGTTTCCATGGTATTTACTGTTCTGTGGATTGGGCGTGAGTAGTTTGGGTTTACTTATGGAAATTTGTGTGCACAAATTGCAGATGAGGACGAGATGTAAACGTGGAAAAGGAAACATTACGTCTAAGTTGAGACAAATTTAAAATAGTTTTAAGATGTCTTTTAAGAATGTATGTGAATAACAGCACTGTGCGACAGCTGAAACCATCCCGGACTTTGCTAATATTTTCAGATAGTATACATATCCAGTAATAAAATACTAGATGGATTTGCAAAAGTTAGTTCGTACTTTTATTTTATGACCTACTATAATTTTCATGCTCCTGCCTAATATAAGTGTTTTTAACAAAAGTGGAAAAAAATGTTAAAATAAATGAATGAGTTTTATTAAAGGTTAAGAAGTGTACAGTATAATCTCATGGGAAATATTTTCGTAGAATATTTTAACCTGTTAGCTCCCGCCTGAGAGGTTCGTTTTGACCATACATCAAAAAGCAAATTTTGGAGGTCGTGAAGGGATTAAACTGTTCTAGAGAATTATTCTTAGGAAAATTTAAAAGGGGTTTTCTCAGGCAAAATCTTCATGTCATCAACGTAAAAGTGGTATTTTACCTATATTTAGAGAATTTAATTTTTGAATAGTTGGCAACCCTCTTCGAAATTATTACTGCTGGGGAAGACTGACTGCATTTAAATAGGTTTCATTGACTAAAAGCTTTGCGATATTTTACTTGATTAATTAAAATTTTATACAGGGGACAATCCTATTCAAAAGATTGTATTTTTATCCTAAAGCGTTGAAGCTGGCCTTCAAAATGGATGGATGAATTGGCCGGATATAGTGTGTCTAAGGACTCATATAAAAAAAAACTAAACAGGTTTATTTTAAAGCATTCCTCCCATGCAAACCTAACTCCAAAAACGCTTAAAGTGTTAATTGCAGCGATGAATGCACGACTCCGAAATTTTGTACACTTATTTATAATCATACATTTATAATATAAGTAAACGCCCTTAAAATGGTGTAATCGGTTTATTTTTACGCAAATCTCCCATACAAACTTAACCTCAAAATGCTTTAAGAAGCCATTCACATGTAAGGAAAAATCCTGTTGTTATACAAAGTGCAAACTTGTGCAAGGTGAGTTATACAAAAATGGAAAGCAGAAACTCTATATACAAATATATAAATTGTGCTTCACGGTGGGTTAAACTGCTTTTCCTTTAAAGTTAAAAACCAGCAAATTTCAATTGTTTGTAGAAATGCGAAAATTGCTAAATTCGGCGAAACAGATAATAAAAGATGAGGTAAAAAATATTAACTTACCCTTTTATAAATTATCACGTCGTTTAAAAGTTAATTATCTTCATTACTATGATTTCTAAGGCTTGTAATATTTTCGGAGAAAAATAAGTTTTTTATTTAAATTTAGAGAGCGACCGAGCATCGATTTTTAGAGCCGAACCTAATACCTGAAATTAAACAATCGTATGTTATAATGTAAAAATCAAAGCCTGTCGACATTTTCACCTTACAACCGATTCCGTCTATCGGTGTTAAGCTAGGCGAACGATTCATCGATGTTTTTGAAACATCGATAATATTAGTCTGAAATTCGATGTTTGCTATTGATGTTTGTTGCTTATTGAGGGAGTAATAAATCTTAGCACAGGGCGCGCCAAGTGACTAAATCCACAACAAAGAAAAGTCTATTGGATGTTGGATTTAATTCAAATATATAGATACAATTGTTTATTAGAGAGATTGAAGCAATACAATATTACTTGAAGAAATGAATTCAATGTTGCCCAAGTGGCTTAATCAAAAAAGGTAATTCGATAAAACAAGTGCGATGCGGTCGCGGCGGTAGTTGAATACGAAGTACTTAACTTTCTTAATTGCGGGCACAGGTCACCCCATGACACCGCTTACAACAAGGCAATCCAACTTTCCAAATTCCAAAATTAATTCACAATAATATAAATGACAAAGTTGCCGGCCGCACGCATAATATGAAAAATGAGAAAACATATAAGGATCAGTCAAATTCTATTAAATTGGCGCTCATGTCCTCGACAATGTTTAATAATTTTTAACATCGCCGACTTGACAATACATCGATGTCAATCTCAAAGATTTTTTAAACATCGACTTCTGTGTAACTCTCAAACCTGCTATAGACAAAGAACGTAGATAACAAGAAGGGACCACACGTTATAATTGTAGCGAAAGTGAGTAACAGGGGCCTGCCTTCTCTTTGCATCCAATCAAAAAACGTATTTGGGCAAAGGAGAAGGCGCGCTCCTGATGTTCACACTCGCTACAATTATAACGAGTTTTTCCTTCTTATTATCTACGTTCTTTGCTATAGATTAAACTTATCAATTATTTTATTTTTTATTTTTACTTATATGAATTTTTATATTACTCATCCTATGGAAGAGCATTCAGAAATTTCGATCTTAGCGTCCAGTATGGAATATGCTAGCATAGTTATGTATATATTAAAAATTGCGGACCGCCCAAAACGACAAATTTATTGCCACGTCACAGAAAATATTGTTGATTCCAGGCTTTGAAAATTCACGCGGGTATAGGAAGGTTAATTAAATGCAGAGAAAATCAGAACGTATTTTTCTGATTGCATTTCAAAAGATGGCATGTTTCAGATTATTAAGTTATTCATTGAATTTAACCAGGACTTAAGAAATTGTAAAATATCGTAAACCATCGATATATCGATGTTTTTCTGGCGATGAATTTTAGCATCGATGTAGATTTTTCCGATGCATCAAAACATCGATGTATCGATGTTACTCGCCAAAATTTGCATCCCTATATAAAGCTGACCTTCAGCACTGAGCAATTGTTCACTAGACACACTTGATGGAGGATCAGACAAATATTTTAAAGGATTTTTTTTTTTCAACAGGAAATGTAGGCTTTGATACCAGTATTCAAAAATATTTCAATTTCTTGGCAGCAGATGTTCATTGAGAAAAGTGTCCAATTAGTTAATTAATGAATGTTTAATATGAATTTCCTACCTTCGTTTTGCTGGCGCCAATAATATTCATATATTTTTGCGAGAATAAAAAAGTTAATTTTTGGTTTGATTCTGCAATTTTCAAAATGAAAATGAAACAATAACAAACTAAAACTTTGTACTATTTTTAAATAAAAAAAAAGATTGACAATGTTCGGCCAAAGTTAGTTTTTTTTTTTTTGTCAGAAGCTGAACCGATTTCTCTATTGCCAGTCTAGTGCTTTATTCACTCGGCCATTGCGACTGACCACCACCAATATAATTTTTTCTGCTCATTATCCACTGTGCATCGTGGGCTTCCCTTCTTCAAACTGATGTATCATTAATTAAATTTTTTGCTGAAATATTAAAGTAGAAATCGTTCGTTAGAAGAAAAATATCTTTGTAAAATATACATATCTAATGGTATCTAAAAACGTTAAGTATATTTACAGCAATACCTCTCAATTTTATTTAAGAAACTTTTTAATAATAATAATTTTTTCTGCTCATTATCCACTGTGCATCGTGGGCTTCCCTTCTT